ATATATAAATATATTATTCTAACAATGCAATTATTTCTTTCCGTTTCTGCGTGTGTGGGAAGCGCTGATGTACTCTCTAAATAGGCCAACAACGGGACTACATATCTTATAATTTTATGTTTAAAGTTGTTCCCCGAGCTTTCTTGCTTTTTTAATTTGTACGATATGTAATCAAAGAATATTTTTGTTTCATTTGCGGATGTCTTTGCTTTAGCTTTCAAATCGCAAGTTTGGTTGTTGGTTTTTTTTTTAAAGGAGGTATCTTTTCTGTTATATTTTATTTAATGAGCGAGGTTGTTTTCATACAGGGGAAAATCAAGGTGTAGGTCTACAAAGCGGGGTCGGTGGGTGGTCTGGTGTGGTTTGCTCCTTCTTTCCTCTCTAGTAATATGTCTAATTTTCTGCACTTAAATTGCCTATTTGTATTGCAAGTGTCGTAAAACTCTAACTAAAGCTGAAACTAAATTGCAAAACATGACATTTTTACCTAAGTCCACCATTTGACTTAAACGAAAGCGAAAGTGTCCCAATAACTGAATTTTTTAACTCCAATACGTCTATGAATTTTTAAACACAAATACGTCCAGTCTAAATTGATTGGAAAACACTTTTTGCAAAACAATTAATTCATAATTTTTAACAAACAGTGTAACACACGAAATAAAACGCTGCTATATTTGAGATATGAAATGAAAGAAGTAACAGAAACTTTTACCTCACCGATTTTATTACTAGAAACGTCGTTAATGAAATGCCTTTGGCAATATCGTGTACTTATCGTGACGGTAGAAGTCTGTGGTGAGCACAAACCATGTCGCCGTGTTTTCTGTTTGAAGCTTGAAGTAGCAAGTGATTTTTAACGACGATTGTATTTTAACTGGCTCCGTTGTGTTTTGCATTAATTTGTATGTCTGAAGTGTCTCGTAAACACCTTTTAAAGTTGCAAGGGATTCTTTTGCTTTCTTTGCAAATTGTTTGTATAAAGGAGGAAGACAACTGGACCCCCCCCCCCCAACCCTCTCCATGCATTAAAATGTATAATGTTGTTGAAAAAAAATGAATTTAATGTTGAAATTTTTTAAACAATGTTCTATCATGAAATTATTATGAAATATTAAGATGCGGGATTGGCATATTTTATTCCACGATTCCGCATAATATGTTTTTCGTGTATCCATCATTTGCAATAATAATAATAATGATAATAATAATAATAAAAGTAATAATATTATGCTGTATGTTCTGTCATAGCGTGTGTTGCGAAGCTTCCGTTAAGAGAACCACGTCTGTGTGTAGCGTTTACTGCAAGTCCTATATAATGCCATTTTATGTTTTTGGTGACGTTAGAGATTGTTGAGTGTGTGCGGTTGACGGGTGCTCTGGTGTGGTTTTCTCCTTCTTTCCTGTCAGACATCTATCATCCTGATCTCTGCTCCTTCCTTTTTTGTGTTTGTTACTCTCTTGTAACACCTCTAATCTTCGGCATTTATATTATGTCCTTATTGTTTTTGCAGTGCCGTAAGCCTCTTACTAAAACTAAACTAACTAGGTCTCGAAAGAGTGCTTAGTTGCCTTCTAGTTCTTTGAAATACAAAAAATAATAAATTTAATCATAACGTATTTTATACGGGGGTTTTTTTTGGGGAGGGGGGGTGGGTTCGTCTGAATGCCGAAGCCCGCTTTCGTGTCGGAAAATACACGTCGTTTTATCGTTTTATCAGTTTTCTTGTTTTGCTCCTCCAGAATTTGCGGATGCTGAAAAATAACTATTATTATAGTTATGACTTTTCAACGCCAGATTTGCGAGTTATGATGAGAACGCGAACAATAAGTCATATTAGAGTTGTGTCCGTTACCAGAGTTAGAGATCATTATTTAATTAATACTTCCCACATTACTATCCCAGTGTGGCTGGGGTAGCTTGAATTTATAACATATTATGTAGAGAAAAATGTGTGAGTGACGGGTTTGGCGAGGGTTATTTGGTCCCTTCTAAGGACAAGCGGGCTGACCCAGATTTCGGGGGTTTCCAGAAATCATGACCTACACCAAAAGTGGGCATTGCCCTTCC